CCCCCCGGTCCCCCCATGTCAAAAAAAGCCCGGTCTAGGTAGGGTTAATCCTATAGTACGACCGGGCTTTTTTGGGCTTCGCCATAAAATGACGAACATCAGCCGACCGACTCCTAACCATGGTTGGCGGGCGTTTAGCTAGCATTCCGGAGGCCAAATTGGTAAATTGCTAAATTTGTGACGGGGTTGTAAGGGTGACTTTCGGTAAAACAGAGAAATTTGTTCTTCGTTCGATAGTACTTTGAGAGATTTCATCCATTCCCACCTTTGAAGTTTTAAAAAAATTAAAAAGGAATTTGAGTTTTTTTAGTCAAATTTGAACCCCTACCACGCTCAAATGGTAGACTGGTGTTCTGGTGAGTTAAAGTTTAGACCATCAAACCTCCCGACTGTTCACCAAACATGCGCTGACCTACTCCGAACCGTGGCTGGGTGGAGTTCAGCTTGTAGTATTCAGGAGGTCAAATCTGTGTGTACATGTATGTGACAGGGGATAAATTCAAATGACGTTTTCCTTTAATTACAGTCCGTAAAACAAGAGTCTGGGTGGGACTAAGAAAGAAAGACAGCCGAGTCAGCAGGTGGTACTGGGTAGATGGATCTGAACTAACCTATGAGAACTGGTTTCCTGGTGAACCCAACAACAAAAGTTTTATGGATCTCTTTGCAACAGACGTGCATTGTGCTACAATCTACACCAAGGTCTGTTGTTCTTTTCTGTCCTCAATGAATATTCATGGTTAGAAATAATAATAATCAACATAATTAAATATTTGTTTGATTTTCTGTTTGGGTCCGCGCGGACACCATCTGAGTTTCGATGCACTGCGATGCTGCTATTTTTATATGTTTCATTTACAGTTCGTTTACGCTAGTGTTGTGAGACATGGACAAATATTAATTTGTGTAGCTGTAGGGATGTAATACATGTAAGCAGTTTTGCTTATGCTACCTGTGCATTTTGCATTGTTTCAATCCTAATAAATAAATATGTATCCCAACAGACTACAAAGACGATTTTTAGAGCTACTAGAAGAGGCCAGTGGACGGACCAATCGTGTGACTGTAAATATCCTTTCATTTGCAAGAGTAATCTTTAAATCACTTGGAGTGCGACCCCAAATGTAAATATAAGGGGATCTTCAGATGACATAGAGACTTGTACATTTTTCAAAACGTAGGGCCAAATTGTTTTTATGATTTCTCAGAAAATAAACTGGTTCTCAAAAAGATTCATACTGTTGATGTGTAAAAAGACCATAATTTTCGACTGTATAACTCCACTTCTACTTAGCCTGGGTATGCAAATACACCCCAAATCATTAACTTGTACTTAGAATGACCAACAGTATATATAAGGTCTCTTTAAAAAATGGAAGGTTTGTAAGAACATTTGTAAGAAATAAAGAGTACTTTATTGCACAACAAATGAAAATTATGACCTCTAATGGTATATTATTACAATTTCATAAGGATAACCTATTTAATACAAGATTCTGTAAATATCCATCTATAATTACCCACTTGATTTTATAGGATGTCGTCAGTTATATCAACATGTATATGAGGCCTGAGTCTTAAAATGTAATTAAGCTTTTTTATAAATATTGTAATTGATTACTTGTACTCTGCACGGTCTCATAAACCATATAAGAGACCTGAGTCTTATTAGAAATGAACACATGGCTACTAATAAAAAAATGATAATGGCGAACTCGTTCATAGCAAGGTCCCATAAGTCTTATGAAGCTTCTACAAATAACGCATGGTTAGTGAGATTTCGCCAGTTGTATGAGAGGCCTAAAATGTATACATGGTTAGTTTCTTGTAAATCGACAAAATTGTTCTTCTATGTGACCACTAATATTGGACATTGCCATTGTTTAGTCTTAAGGCCACATCAAGTACATTTTATGAATGAAATCTTTCACAGACACCAAATGTAATGCACAAGGAAAAAAAGAAAACACTGAGGTTGGCCAAAAAAATAACAAGATTCATAAAATTTTGAGATTAGAAACCTTCCTAAACAAGAATTGAAGCTACAAATCATGATATCACAACCAACGTGAAGGCTTATTCAATTTTTTCATTAGTATTTTCTCTACATCAATACGGTGTAAAATTAAGAGTAACAGTTATTTCCTATTACTATCATTGCATTGTCCTTAAGCGTTGATTATATTACAACTAGAAGTACAGTGTAGTGTTCAAACGGCGAGAGTGCTGCATGTCGACAATCTGTAAACTAGTTTTTTTTGTCACGATCACGGTCATTGTACTGTATGCTCCGTAGCATCTTTATAAGAATTAGAAGCCGTGTGTAAAATACTAATGCGGGGTATGTGGACATTAATGACAGAGGTTTACATGGTAAAACACCCTTCGTTTGTGTGGCACCTTATTCGCCATCACCACCTCTCAGTTATTAGTTGTTTTAGTTACCACTTTTCTCTTTATATTTGACTAACTGTTGTAAAGACACTATAGATTCATCGAGTTTTGAGATCTTTGAATTTAGTTGCAGTGACATGTGGTTATAATTACATTAAAATGTTGATGATATTGTGCATTTCATTATCAGTAAATTTAAACATGTAATGTTGTGTGGTCTCCGATTGTCTACTATACGCATCTTCGTCGTTCTTCTCGAAGCTATATTCTTTATTGTGTGAAGATGTTTTCTGACTAAGACATATATCTCGTTAGCCTGGGTACCATCCTACTTGTATGCCGGGGCTCCCACACTCGCTTCTTAGGGAAGCGAGTATGGGAGCCCCGTTATACAAGTGTGATGGTACCCAGGCTAATATCTCGTCACTATTCATCATCATCATCATCGTCATCATCATTGCAGCATCTATTTTGCAAATATTTTCTTCTTTTTGTCATTTTTTTCTTGTTTCTGTTTTATTCTTATAGCATTAACTGTAAAATAAACAATCATTTAAACTTATATGCCAGACAAAATCTCTTATATCATTTTGATTAGTTTATCCGACAAGGCATCTGTAACAACATAATTCAGGAGCCAGGTAATCAGGTTAGTCACCTTTAACCTTTGCCCTCGGTGGGTTTGACCTATGATTATGCCGAACCGCCATTTTTAACTGTGAGTGGTGTCATTATTTCTTTCAAATTCGAGGCAATTTCCATCATACATCGGCTGTGTATCAAATCTGGGTAGTTTTGAAATACAGGTAAGACATTTATTACCTCCGGGGAAGGAGATATCCTTCCGCGAGGAGGTTTTACTATGGTTCGAAACATTTCTGTCAGCAGCTGTTTCTCGCGATCGGCTGGACGGATTTGTCTGTGGTTCGGTATACGTATTGCTGTTGGGCTGCAGATGATGCAGAACGTTTTTGTTTAATTGTATATGTGTTTATGGGCGTGGAAATAAAAGGTTTTTAAGTGCTCCGGACACCCCCGCCATGCTGAAAATGGAATTTACCATGTTGTTAAGGAATGGGGAGGTTTCAGTTTTGGGTCTTACCATTTAAAAGGGGTCAAACAGAGGGGTGTCTGCTTCGGATATGTATTTTGAAATATTATCGCAGTTGTATCTCGCGTTGGGGTAGACTGGACTCGGTGTATGTTCTTCTAATGGGCTGTAGATGGTGCAGGTTTTTTTGTTTTTATTGTATATGTGTTTTGGGGCGTAAAAATCTGAAAATGGTCGCGCGCGGCGCTGGGCTGGCTGCCAGCGCAACTTCCGGGTGGGCCAATGGGTCAGGGGTCAACGCCCTCTTGGATGTTTTCGGCGTATAGTACGACTTCTTAACTTACAAATACCGTGGTATACTGTCTCAGACGTTCTCGACATGCATTTTTACCGTGGGTACATGGTATTGGTATGGGCTGCAGATGAAAATGTTGACCAGTCCTGTATTAACACAACCAGGAACGCTAAATCTAACACATAAAATTCAACACCATCAACTATACAGAACAAACAACATGGAAAAATATACAATAAAAAGCCCGGAGGTATAAAATCTCAGATTTTACTTGTTTACCACTTACGGTAGCTGATAAAGATTTGTCAACTTTCTGCTCTCAGTTTCGCCAATAAATCAAAACGCGTTGTGTTGTTTCTTTATTAATCTTTATCCTCAGGGTTAGGATTTCTAATTTGCCCCTATGCAAATCAGCGCATGTAACATGATAATTCAACAATAAAATCAGACACGTGATATGTTGTTGTTTTATTGATCACCAACTTTACTTGTTAGTCTGCAACTCGGTCTCTTTTTTACTACGAATGATGTTGCCTGATTCTTCCTTTTGCAAATCAGCGCATGTAACATGATATTTTAACAATAAATTCAGACAACTCATGTTCAGTTGTTGTTTTATTGATCACAGTTGTTGTTTTATTGATCACATACAGGTGTTGTTTTATTAATCACCGAATGTATTGTAAGTCTCCAACTCGGCCTCTTTTTACTTCGACTGATGTTGTCTGATTCTTTCCCATGCAAATGAGCATGGCGGGTTCCTTTGTGTCGTAATCAAGTAAAACCCACCAGACCGGTTTTAATCACCCTCTCAGCCCCTATATAAACGCGTCCTGACTGCTCTGTTTCTGTCAGTACTGACTCTGCAGCCGTGAGAATCTGTGTCGTCGTGAAAACGTCGTGTAGTGCTTTGGAGCGTCAGTGCATCTTGGTAAGTGTCGGCTATAGTTTTAGTTTCCTCTAGATCTATTCATTTATTCTATGTACATGTATATAGGGGTTGTAATCTTGTGGGGCGGCTGTGTACTATACTACAATGGTGTACAGTTGTGAATAATGTTTTGCGAAGGTTTATGAGTGCCATATTCGAGATTAGTGGCATGTGATGGCCTTCTTTATTTTATATTTGTCAATATAATTATCGCGTGTTCGCACGTATACCAGATTCTCGATTCCACAGTCTAACCACTAGTACACTAAGTCCCACAGTTCTACAGTCTAAACAACAAATTCCATTAAATTTATGACATTTTATACAATGTTCAATATTCCTGCAGGGTTACGAGTTCGACCAACATGACGACCAGAGCTGAATCTCACCTGAAACAAGAGGAGGGAGAGAATGGGCTTGGAGAGCTGGATTCTCCGCGTACCCATAAGTGTGGTGAGTGTGACAAGGAGTTTCGTTACCTGAGTTATCTGAAGCGACACATGCGGACTCACACTGGTGAGAAACCGTACAGATGTGACAAGTGCAACAGACAGTTTAGTGAGCTCGGTAAGCTAAAGTCACACATCCGGACTCACACTGGCGAGAAACCGTACGGCTGTGAGGAGTGCAACAGACAGTTCAGCGCCCTCAGTAATCTGAAGACTCACATGCGGACTCACACTGGTGAGAAACCGTACAGATGTGAGGAGTGCAGCAAGCAGTTTAGCGATTCGCGTGATCTAAAAAGACATCTTCGAACTCACACGGGTAAGAAACCGTACAAGTGTGGGGAGTGCAGCAATCGGTTTAGTGATTCGAGTGCTCTAAATAGACATGTGCGAACTCACACGGGTGAGAAACCGTACAGGTGTGAGGAGTGCAGCAAATCGTTCTGTAGACTGTCTCATCTCAAAAGCCACATTCGGACTCACACAGGTGAGAAACCGTACAAGTGTGAGGAGTGCGGCTGGAAGTCCAGTGAGCTGGGTAGTCTAAAGATACACATGCGGACTCACACTGGTGAGAAACCGTACAGATGTGAGGAGTGCAACAGACAGTTCAGCGCCCTCAGTAGTCTGAAGAAACACATACGGACTCACACTGGGGAGAAACCATACGGTTGTCAAGAGTGCAGCAGGCAGTTTAGTCAGCCTCAAGATCTAAAGAGACACATGCGGACTCACACTGGTGAGAAACCGTACAGCTGTGAGGAGTGCAGCAAGCAGTTCAGTCAGCTGGGTAATCTAAAGAGACACATTCAAACCCACACTAGGGAGAAACCCTACAGGTGTGAGGAGTGCAGCAAGCAGTTTAGTGACTTGCAAACTCTAAAGGCACACTTGCGGACTCACACTGGCGAGAAACCTACCGATGTGTACATGTAAAGTTAACAATAGCGAGGATCTAATATCACGATCGATGCAAGCACATGCCCCGTAGCCTGTTGATTAGAGCTAGAAGCTTTAAATGTCACTGTGTGATAGTTATGTTATTCTGTTGCCAGTATATACATGTACAGTTTTTCTGTCAGTAGAATTCCCTCTACACAAGGTTAACTGTAAAGTTAACAATAGAAGTGGTTTTATATCACAATCAATGCAAACATATGCCAACTACATGTAGTTATATATTGATATACTGTATTTTTTTAATTTAGATATAGTTACAGTGTTACATGTTATAGTGAATCTAAATGTTGTTTGTTTTCCTAGTGTTCTGCCAGGTAGCTGTAGTTGTTAGAGATTTGCCAACTTTCTGTATCTCGATTCAACAATAAAAATCGCCCAGGCGTAGTATGTGTCGTTGTATTTGTTTCATTGCGTACCGGACCGGTTTTAATTGCAGCATACTTGTTACCTTCGCCAAGAAGGTTATGTTTTCAGTAGCGTTTGTGTGTGGGTGTGTTTGTGGGTGTGTGTGTGTGTGTGTGTGGTTTAGCAAGATAACTCGAGAAGCAGTGGATGGATTGTAATGAAACTTGGTAGGTGGGTATGATACCTAGAAATGATTAGATTTTGGGCCCCCTGGCAGCTTTCCTAGGTACTGCAGCTGAACTTCCGGTTTTGATATCTCATGTTCTGGACATGCTAGGGTCACGAATTTTGGTTGGTAGATAGCTCTTGGGGTAGGGAAGAAGTGACATGAGTTTGGGTCCCCTAGCGCCTTGTTCTTGAACTGCAGGAGCATTTGTTGAAAAACATTTGAAGGACGATAACTCAAGAACCGGTTGACGTATTGTCGTGATTTTTGGTATGTAGGTAGTTGAAGTGATGCTTGACATAATCAGATGGCAATTATGCAAATCAGTAGCTAATTTGCATAATTAATGAGGAAATTCTATGAATCTGATTTGTTTGATAATAGAACTATGAAACAGTTGTGACATCTACTTGAGAACGAGAAAAACATCTGAGGATATAGATTATGTAAATGAGGACCTAATTTGCATAATTAATGGAAAATTATTATAATTCCATAGTTGTAACTGCTGCACCCCGAATTTTATACTTGCCACATTTGGAAGTTAAGTGAAGGTGAACATTAATAAACATAATTTATTCAAATCATGACCTCATTTGCATAATTTATGAGGAAGTGCTATAATAGCCTTTTTGTTATGATAAGGCTATCTTTGGGTGGAGAATATGATCAACTGATATAATCCATGCAAATGAGGCTCTTATTTACAAAATCAATGATTAAAATTGTAGAATTCGTCACCCGCAAGGGTTAACATCTTTTGGCGAAGGTATGAGATCGTGGAACTCTTGTTTTGTTAATGTATTCATTTAGCTGTTGCTCAGTATTGATTGCTTTCCTAGTTTTTTGTAAGCTCCATGTTAACGTTGCTGGTAGCGATTTACTAACTTTTGCATCTCAGTTTTGCCAATAAATGAAAACATGCAATGTATGTGTTCATCTTCATAGTTATTCTCCAAGGTGTCCTCTGTCTGGGGGTGTTGTCTTTTTTTCTTGTTGTCTTATTTCCCCTATGCAAATAAGCGCATGTAACATCATGTCATCGTACTTGCCTTTGTTTAGTAATCAAGTAAAGCCTACCGGACCGGTTTCATCCACCCACTTAGTCCGTATATACGCGTCCCCGACTACTCTGTTTCTGACTAGACAAATGAAATTAAAACTGCATCTAGGCTGCCACACCAGCTCCACAAATTGATTTGTCTACTCGGGGTTCTATTAATTTAGTTTGATTGGTTTAGACAATTTGTAATCTTATTGACCATCCAAATTTTGCATGCGGTGTGACGCGGGCTCGGTCATCCTGTTTTTTTACTTAATAGGTAACGACATCGAGTGCCAGAAAAACGACTTAACAAGAATTCGGCGATCCTTTTAAATTGTAAATGCTGTAGTGTTATTTTGTGTCACTTATTACGGAAATCATCATTATTTGTTCATGTTACGGATTATTCAACACAAATCACATATATTGTATGGGTTAAGTCCTATACTTTGTCAAAAAACATTTCTAAATTTTATCACTTGGTATAGGATTTGTTTACTGATTGACGGTACAATCTCCAAGTACATGGCAGATTACGTACAAATACAGTGTCAGTAAATTTAGACACCTAATGTTGTGTGGTCTCTATTGTCTACCATATGCATCTTCGTAATTCTTCTCGAAGCTGTTCTGTATTGTGTGAAGATGTTTTCGAATTCTGACTAAGACATATATCTCGTAACTATTCGTCATCATTGCAGCATCTCCTTTGCAAATATTTTATTCTTTCTGTTATTTTTTCTTGTCTCTGTTTTATTCTTATAGTATTAATTGTAAAATAAACAATCATTTAAACTAATATGCCAGACAAAATCTCTTATATCATTATGATTAGTATACCCGACAAGGCGTCTGTAACAACATAATTCAGGAGCCAGGTAATCAGGTTAGTCACCTTTAACCTTTGCCCTCGGTGGGTTTGACCTGTGATTATGTTGAACCGCCATTTTTAACTGTAAGTGGTGTCATTATTTCTCTCAAATCCGATGCCGAGGCAATTTCCATCATACTTCGGCTGTGTATCAACTCTGGGTAGTTTTGAAATACAGGTAAGACATTCTATTTACCACTTACAGTACTGTAGCTGATAGCCGCAGCGACTGTTGCAGGGCTTCTCTTGCTTGCAGTCTTTTACATTAGCCCTAACAACAGGAGTTATGTTATTTTTTAGGGCTAATATTGTAACAGTCGCCGCGGCTAAGTAGCTTATAAAGATTTGTCAACTTTTTCAAAACAAAAATTTGTCGGACCGGTTTTATCCACCCACTCAGTCCCTATATAAACGCGTCCCTGACTGCTCTGTTTCTGACTAGACAAATGAAATTAAAAATGTATCTAGGCTACCACACCAGCTCCACATGATACTTTTAACAAATTGATTTGTCTACTCGGCGTGCTATTAATTTAGTTTGATTTGTGTAGACAATTTGTAATCTTCTTGCCCACCCAATTTTGCATGCGGTGTGACGCGGGCTCGGTCGATCATCCTGTTTTTTAGGTAACCGACCTCGAGTGCCAGAAATAGACGTAACAAGAATTCGAAAATCTCTATGGACTATTTTAGTATTTAGAGCCTTTTTAATTGTAATTTTTTTTTTTCATTTATTACGGAAATCATCAATAACCTTTCAGGTGACGGTTTATTCTACTCAAATCACATATATTGTAAGTCCTATACGTTGTCAAAAAACATTTAAACATTTTATCACCTGGTATAGCATTTGTTTACTCATTGATGGTGCCATGTCCAAGCACATGACAGATTACGTACAAATAAGCACTATAAATACAACTCGAGATGTTACCAATATCACCTGAACATACTAAAATGATTCAATAATGATAATTACATAATGATATCAACTGAGCTTACATTGCTGGGCATAGGATAGTTACTGTTTAGCAGATGGATAAACTAGGGAATTTGGCTATTTCATGTAGATCTAATTAATTAATAAATAATAAATAAAGTTAAGGAAAGTGGCAAAACTACCTGGTTAGCCTCTTTGCAGCTTCTAATGCGGGTTTTCTAACGATATGATGGCAACCAGGATCAGAAGCCATGATGACCAAACAATTTAACATGTTTAAAAGATGTCATGATCTCTTACGTTTTGGGTAGATGAGGAATAGTGGGCTGTTTAACAGTGGGGATCTCCCACGGCCAGTAGGTGTTTATTTGTGAAGGCCCCTTACTTTGCGGTGTCTCATCGCAGGCAAAATGGGGCGTCCTCTTCAGTTGGTCTGTATTTCTTCCACTAGCTATCTCCCATGGCCAGTAGGTGTTTGTTACAATGGGAATGGGAGGCTGTAGACGCGAGGCGTTAAATTGTAAACTGCTTGGTATTTCGTTAGGCTTGTTGGCGTTGGTTGATGTTTCGTTTAATTTCACTTCATATTCTGATGTCCCGGGTGTGCAGGTACTTTTTAACGAGGGAAGGGACGCTCTCCGCCGTAGTGTGCATAGACCGCTTGAAATATCCAATGGCCAGTTGTTTGGCAGTGCCAAGGATCGACAGGAGGTAGTGTGAGGTGTGGTGAAGGAAGTTCGCCCTGGTGTGTTTTCGCCATCTCTACGCTGGAGTTCCATTACACAGGTCTGTTCGGTAAGTGAAGTAGGTCGCTTGGCGCTACGCATGTGGACTCCGTCCTCTACAATTTGCGAGATGTGTGGGACTCGCGAAGTCGGCGAAGCAGCATCCTCTCCTGAAACGCTCTGGTCAACTTTTCTCAGCATTGATTGAGAATTAGAACCTGGTGGTTTTGCCTCAGCTCGCATGCCCCAGTTATATAGGACATTCGCTGTCTTTCCGTGGAACGTTACGTGGTGGGACTTGGATCTTCCATACACAGCTGTATGTCGTCTAGATGTCTGCTGGAGACGGCGTGAACTTCTGCCCAGGCTGCCGTGTTCACGGGACGTCTCTGCCGCCTTTCCGTAGAACGTCACACGATGGGATTTCCATCTACCATACCGTGTTTTACGTAAGCTGAGATGGCGTGAACGTTTGGACTGGTCTACTTGGTAGATACTGCGGTTCTCCCCATGTCCCATAACTGTAGGAAGCGTCAAATCAACTGCAATGCCATAGAATGGTAACGGGGCTTCATCAACATCGTTGCATTTTGGAATGTTATAATACGTTGGTTTGATAGAGGGTAGGAAAACAGGCATTGACTGACAGGAGACTGTGTCCTCTCGTTCTTCCCTCCGTGTGTGCGATCTAGAGGCTGAACTGGTCACATCAGACATGCCGCCATCTTGGATTTCCCAGTACGTGTGAAGGGCATGGACAGAGTCGTATGGGATCTCGCAGTAGTTTGGTTCGATTGAGCTTAGGGTTGTAGGCAGCGATCTGCAAGATACCAGTAGGCTGTGTGTAACGACGCTTTGTCGGTGGGGAATGGCCGGGAGGGAAGCAGACCTCGCCCGCCCAGGCTTCGCAGGTGGTACGGTGTTAGCTCGGGCATCTTTGTTGCGTAACATCACCACCCTCTTCAGCATGCTGATGATGAGTACAAGACCTAGACCGAATAACGGCAGTAGCGGAATTGCAACGTAGATGGAAACGTCGTCCGAGGCAGGTCTGCTCACCATGGTACTGACTTGCGGCGCAGAGGCCGGTGTCGTCTGGTGTTGTGACGTCAACACTACTTTGGTCTGGCTCTTCACTGAAGGTGTCTGAAGAGATGACAGACAATGGCTGGAATCTGGACATGTTTTGTTGTTATCCCTCATTTGATCGCCTTGACGGAAATTGAGCTCCAGAAAATTAGCATTTCCATTGGCGAGTACAAAGCAAGTTACATTTGTAACGTTTGTT